AAGGTATGACAAATCTCAAATTAAATGTTACAAATGTCAAAAACTTGGTCAGTATGCTTCAGAATATAGAAAGGTACTAATCAAGTTGAGGAGAAAGCCAACTATGCTAGTCGGGAAAACGAAGTGGATCTTGCACTACTGTTGGCTTACAAAGGTGAAGAAAGTAGAGAAAGAACACATGGTATTTGTATGCAGGAGCAAGCAACCATATGTGTGGAATAAAAAACATGTTCATAGAGTTTGATGAATCAGTAAGAGGCAACATTACCTTTGCAGATGAATCAAAAATCCCAACGAAAGGAAAACATAAAATCTTGATCTGCTTGAAAAATGGTACTTATTAATTTATCTCAAATGTCTATTATGTGCCCAATATGAAAAATAACATTTTAAGTTTAGGACAACTCTTAGAGAAGGACTATGATATTCATTTGAAAGATCATAATCTTTTAATAAGAGATCAAAGAGAAAATTTGATTTTTAAAATCCCTATGACAAGAAATAGAATGTTTGTGTTAATCATTCAAAATGATGTTGCTAAATACTTAAAAGCTTATTCTAAAGATTCACCTTGATTTTGGCACTTGAGATTTGGACATCTTAATTTTGGAGGCTTAAAGTTGTCGAGTAAGAAGAAGATGGTGAAAGATTTGCCTCCAATAAATCATGTGGATCAACTATGTGAAGGATGCTTACTTGGAAAGAATTCGAGAAAATGTTTTATAAAAGAAGCATCTACAAGAGCTAAGAAGCCACTAGAACTTGTACACTCAGATATTTGTGAGTCAATCAATCCAAGCTCTCTTGGTAAGAACAATTACTTTGTTCTTTTTATTGATGATTTTAGTAGAAAGACTTGGGTCTATTTTCTCAAACAAAAATCGAAAGTTTTTAGAACTTTCAAAAGGTATAAAGCTCTTGTTAAAAAAGAAAATGGCTATAGCATAAAAGCCATGAGATCGAATAGAGGATGAGAACTCACCTCCAAAGAGTTTGAGAAATATTGTGAGGATAATATAATTCGTCGTCCATTGATGGTTCCATACTCTCAATAACAAAATGGAGTAGCCAAAAGAAAGAATAGATCAATTCTTAACATGGTCTGCTGCATGCTCAAAAGTAAGAGATTGCCCAAAGGACTTTGGGCCGAAGCCGTTAATTGCGCCGTATATCTGTCTAATTGATCGCTTTCTAGAAGTGTGTAGAATAAGACACTACAAGAAGCATGGAGTAGAAGAAAGCCCAGCATCTCTCACCTACAAGTATTTGGGAGTATTGCTTATGTTCATATACCAGATCAAAAGCGGTACAAGTTAGATGACAAAAGTGAAAGGTATGTCTTTATCGGCTATGACTCTCGCTCTAAAGGCTACAAGTTATATAATCCAAGCAATGAGAAGATCACTATTAGTAGAGATGTCGAGTTTGCTGAAGAATGAGCTTGGGATTGAGGTGTCCAAAAAAAAGACTACGACTTCTTACCTTTCTTTGAGGAAAAAGACCAAGAGAATGGAAAGTAGCAAGAGCCTACAAGTCTTCCTCCATTACCTACTCATGGAGATGCTTCACCATCATCTTCAAAAGGATAAAGCTCAAGCAAAAGCACATCACGAATGAGGAGCCTACAAGAGCTATATGAGATAACAGAAAATCAAAATGATCTCACACTTTTTTATCTTTTTGTCGATTGTGAGCTAATAGGATATGAAGAAGTGCCGCAAAATAAAAGATGAAGAGATTAAGGCTATTGAGAAAAATGACACTTGAAAGCTGACGACTCTTTACAAAGGAAAGAGAGCAATTGGAGTTGGGTGGGTATACAGGTCATAGAAAAATGCTGAAGGAAAACTAGAGAAATATAAAGTAAGATTGGTTGCTAAAGGATACAACCAAAGGTCGGGAATCGATTATGAAGAGATATTTGCTCCTGTTGCTCGTTTAAAAATTTTAAGATTAACTATCTCTCTTACAGCGCAAAATAAGTGAAAGATATTTTAAATGAACGTGAAGCCAGCTTTTCTAAATGGTTATCTTGATGAAGAAATTTATGTGGAGCAACCAGTTGACTATAAAATAGAATGATATGAAGGAAAAGTCTTAAAACTAAAAAAAGTTTTATATGGGTTGAAACAAACTCCAAGGCATGGAATAGTTGAATTGACAAATACTTTTAAGAAAATGGCTTCACAAAATGCCCTTACTATGCCCTTTACACAAAGGTAAGAAAGAATTGAGATATTTTGCTTGTTTGTTTGTATGTAGATGATCTTATATTTATAGGAAGTAATCAAAATATGATCACTGAGTTTAAGAAGGCCATGACTCAAGAATTCGAGATGACGGATATCAGCCTCATGGCTTACTATCTTGGGATTGAGGTAAAGCAAATGGAGGATTGCATCTTTATCTCACAAGCAGGGTATGCGAAAGAATTCTAAAGAAATTCAATATGGAGGATTGCAAGCCTGTATGCACCACCATCGAATGCGAAACCAAGTTGTGAAAAAATGATGAAGGTGAAAAAGTAGACCCAACACTTTTTAAGAGTCTTGTTGGAAGTCCAAGATACTTGACGTGCACAAAATCAGATATCCTTTTCGAAGTTAGGCTCATCAGTGGTTATATGGAGACACCTACTATGATCCATATGAAAGCCGCAAAGAAAATTCTTCACTACATCAAAGGTATGCTTGATTATGGTTCAGTCTATTCAACATCTAATGAATTCAAACTTTGTTGGATGTAATAACAGCGATTGGGGTGAAGACAATGATGATAGAAAGAGTACGACCGGGTTTATGTTTTACTTGGACGACATAGCTTTAACTTGGAACTCGAAGAAGCAATTGATCGTAGCACTATCTACATGTGGAGTTGAATATGTAGCAGCCACATCAAGTGTTTACCATGCAATTTGGCTTAGAAACTTGTTGAAGATGCTTGAAGTCTCACAAAAAGAATCGGCATTGATATTGGCAAAAAAACCCAATATTCCACAGTAGAATCAAGCACGTTGATACAAGATATCACTTCATAAGAGAAAGAATTGCAAAGAAAGAAGTGTAGCTGAAATATGTAACATCTCAGGAGCATATCGCCGACATTCTCACTAAACCACTCAAGCATGACGTGTTCCGCAAGTTAAGAACTCTACTTGGAGTAGCAAAATCAAGTTTAAAGAGGGATATTGAGTAGTAAACTTGATTTTTGAACTAAATAATATGAGCTTCAGGATTTTGCTCACACCCAGATCAATTAAATAGTCCAACATGCTTGGCATTTCTTAAAAAATTGTCTAAAAAAATCTATATAAATATCTACTAGAAATATCTATATAAACATCCAAGTAAAATATGTGATGATAAATGTGGTAATGTGTCAAGAGGAATATATGGTCTTATAAAGCCTTTCTAAAGTATTCCAGCAAAATATCATGTCCAAATATGTAGTCTAAAAGTCTCATGTAAATATGTGATCTAGGAGTTTCTAGAAAATTGTGTGGACTAAAAGTTTCATGTAAACACTATATAAAAGGGTAGGATCTTCCATTTTGTAGCAAGCCAAGTGTGTAAGTTTTGGAGTTGAGAAATACAAGTTTTCTTTTGTTCACTTTCTTCTTCCTATTAGTATTATCCTCCTTAAAAGTCTTAGCCAATCCAAGTTAGTAAATCCCTCTTTCCTATAACAAATTTATTATTATTAATTTTTTTTTTTTTTTTTTTTTTAACACTTTTAACAAGGGGCCACGCCGCCGATGTGCTATGCTTTACCATTTTTGTTCATCTTTGCCTTCCTTTCCTCAATAATACATAATCATCAACTCATGTGACTATATTCTTTAATATTGTTTAGTTATATTTTACAATGACTTACCACTTGCTAGATAGAGATTAGAGAAAACTCGTAATCTGTCTGACTATGCAAGTTATAGGAGATACTTAAATACCTGATAAAACGACCATATCCTTGGTGGAGAGACCTCTTGCTTTGAACCTATTTTTGAGGTTGGTAAGAGTAGAAGTTGGAGGTGGGATTACACCACTATTTGCAGCTGAAAGGCTTGCTGATTTTGAATCCCTCCTTCCAAGTTTCACTTTCCAGCTAGGTCCTCCGAGCTGAAAAAATATTGTAAAATTAGTACTAATTTTTTAAGCTAAGCCAACTTGCAATAATTAATCTTGTAAGCAATATGTTTTTAAATGTGCAGGATTAATTAGAACAAAAACTCACTATAACAACAGAATCACGAGCAGCAATGGCCAAGATATCAGCACATGACACGACACCTGGACATACAGCCTCAACCTTAGATTTAATGTTATCGACCACATTAAATCCTCTAATGGAGTTGTTGTTAGGCCGAGCAGTTTTCTCCCCGGTGAAAGAAGAAGTGTCGTCAAGAAGAACTGATGCATCACAACCCTATTAAAAACGAGAAAGATCGTTAATCATAGTTACATGTTTAATTAGCTCTAAGACACGAATTAAAGAACTCTAATAAATACAAAGTTTTTATAATTATTTGAAAAAGACTACGTACCAATTTAGGCTTTTCGTCACATGACAGAACAACCGTATTTGGATAAAAGAGTCATAAAATTGATTGATTAAAAAAGGAGAATAATCTTATGTTAATGGAAGAAACAGTGCTCCATAGATTGTGACAAAAAACTGTGATTTGCCAGTGGAATCTCTGTGAGAATTCGATTGGTCACACGAGACCAGTCATAAAAAATTATTAAACCTCGATGACATATTTTCTACGGATCTCACCAAAAATGAAAAAGTTATTCCGGGAGTCACTTTCAAATCTTGGCCTTTTCATGATAAAGTTTGAATATAATTGTTATATATGACGTACGAAATAATTTTATACATGTTCATTAGTTCATACATAATTGAAATGTCACCACAATGATTGAATTGCAATTTTTATTTTTATATATTCACTGTATTTTATGCACGGAGTAATGTATAAAATTAAATGATCCATTTGATAAAGTTTTCGATTTATTTTTCACTGAAACATTGTCAATATTGTATAGTCTCACTTTCCTAAATATGTAGTGAGTGAAAGTTGAATTTAACGCCGACGCAAGTCGAGACCAATAACATATGTTGAGCACAAAGTCAGCAACACGAGTAGCTAGGCACATAAGTAGGCTGCGAATGCACACTGCAAAAAACAAAAACTTTTTGACTTGAAAATTCTTTTGGCAGACATTTTTTTTGACGAAATAACCAATTTAATGACTTTTCTTAGGACAAAATTTTTATTTTTAAACTTGTAAGTTTCGTTGAGATAATCGCCGTATATGGATACATTCATTCAAACTGACTTCGTAGACGTTTTGTGCATTTTTTTAAGAAAATTTTTTGATCTTATATTGTTAACTATTTCAATTAAAAGTTTAAATTATTAGAAACGGATTGCATTTATATTTTTAAATCTTCTCTTCAGCGCTTGTAATGTACATATTTTGGAATTATTTTTATTTATTTATTTATTTTAATGGAAGATCCTATTGCTCCCTTTCATTCTGAAGTCAAATTTTGAGATCATTACCTAATAAATTTGATATTTTGAACATAAAAGAAGAAATTTAAATATATATCTAGGAGCATAACTTGTAATAAAATTGTTTAACTAAGAAAAAATAAAAATTACAACTACAAAATAGTGTTATAGTTACAAGATATTGCGCAGTCAATGAAAAACACAAAAAAAAAAAAAAATGCCGCCATGGTAAGAACTTTTAGTAATGATAAGTACGTTAATTTAAAATGTCGATAAACACATGCCATAAGTAATTATCTAATTTTTCACGCTTTTTACATAAAGGTAAATTATAAGTTTATTAAGGAGCCTAGTGCAACTGAACCATGAATTAAGGATCACGATAGTTTCTGTCGTTTGTGTAATTAAGGATCATCATAGTGAAATACTGCAGCAGTGAAAGAGGACGTAATCTTATATTGAAATAAAATCTATAAGTCTAGTGTTATCTTGTGTTTATTTTGTTTCTACGGGTTACTTTAGTTCTCCACATTTCTCTATTCGCATGTTCGAATTCGTGTTTAGCATGCATTTAACATAACTCGATAGTTCTATGTCTATTCTAGGATACAAGTACTAAGGGGGTCGAATCATGATACAAGTATTAAGGTGGTCTAGGGCTTTAATTTTAGATGAATGAATATAATTAGAAATGAAAGTTACTTGGACAAAGCAGTCGTGGAAGTGGAGGCGGAGGAGTGAAGCGCCCATACGTTTCTCCTTCGCTACGGCGGAATGAACCACCGATTTCACGGTGGAAAACACCTTGGGGCAAGTCTTGTCATAAAAGTTAGGGGAAAGTTTAGCTGAAGAGCTGCCAATGAACAGCGTTACGATAATGAAAAGGACAACTGAAAAAGTAGCCATCGATTAATCGACTGGGAGTAGAAAAAATTGCATGGTGAATATTGCATTGCATTTGGGGCCAATATATAGAGCTCCGATGGATGTGTTTGGCGTAAGCAGCTTACCTAATGATGCAGACCATTGCATGGCTAATTAAGAATCGTGGGTCCGAGTTAGTTGGTGACGTAATTTTCTAAAATTCATTTTCAATCGTATATTTCATTGGACTCATAATTTTTTAACCACACATTTCATCGTTTTATCAAAATTTATTAAAAATAAAATTTTTAGACTTTAGTTAAACCAAACATGAGCGTAATCTAGCGTAAGTATAGTTAAAAAGTTTAAACAAACAATTGAATTAGCATAAATCCAAACTAGCAGTTGATAACAAGACTTTATTATTTT